TTCGTGACCGGAGTATAGCAGCATCTCTCCCGTAGCTAGCCTTTTCTGTCCAGCTTGGGTCCAGTGGGTTTCGCTGATTCCCAGTACTGCTAAGTTGTATCTCCTCATTTCCATTGCTATTTGACTGGTCTTCCCGGTTTCCCACATTGTTCGAACGTTCCATGTACCTATAAAAATTTTTGCTCTGGTTGTTAGAAGGGGCATCGGCCTCGTGGCTTCCGAAGGAACTCGGCTTTCACCATGAAGCGTCATAATTCTTCTAACTGAAGACCTTCTAACTCCCAGGGCAGAGTTTAAATGGTTTGGATTATTTTTTCTGGTAAGCGTTTTTTTAGCGAGTTAGTTTTCTACGGGATGGGGACGCTAACCCCATGCCCAACCCTCCTCCTTTATCCGGGCTTGGGACCGGCAGTAACCCTGTTAGAGCTACAGGCGGAGTTGTGCATTCATATACCCTTTATTATAAGCTTCCGTTATTCCCAATTTATTAGTTACAGTATCTCGAACTTACAGCCATTTTGGGCCTGATCTTGTATAATTGTTATTTTTTATTCTCTTGTATGATGTGGTTTGGTTTGATTATATATATACTGCGTATGTTTGAAATACATGATTCGTATAACAGAGGCTGATACTGGCACTCTGGTCTGAAGCGGATGGCATAAGAGAGAAACTATTATGTCAGAGGACCAATAAGAAATCAGAGTTAACTCTAGGCTGCTCGTACTCGTTTATTCGTCATTGCTCTGGTCATATAAGTCAGTGTTTCTAACTGGCGATTTAGTCAGGTGATATGTTTACAAGCCATAAGGACACAACAACATGATAATCATGTTCATTGGCTGGGAAATTTCGTTGACATAAATTAATCAAAATGAACTACTGTAGTCCAGTTACACTTGTTATTTACGTTCTCTGAGGTTTTGAGTTTCAGTATCATTTTATATCTTTTAATTTTTGGATTAATATTCCCAGAATTTCCTTCTTTTTACTACCGTTATTATTATTAGTAATTTCGTGGATTGGCTGAAGTTAGACATTAACATCGTTGGATGCCGGCTCAGTGGTATAGAGGTCAACTGTCCACTCGTGAGACCAGAAGCCTATGGTTCGAATCCCGCGTGCGAGTTCGTGGGTTTGCAGTGCCGAGGAGTCTCATACTAGGTCAAAACGGCCATCCAGTGCTTCCAGGTTTTCTATGGTGGTCTAACATCGATTGATTCATGGTCTCAATCAAAATTTACTATTATTCCAAGGTTTTCGCTATACATCTTAATTCAATCTTCTTTTAATGATGAATTGGCGAAGAATGAGATTGAAGGTAGTCAACAGGAAACCCTGGACCTTGGTAGCACGGGATGGAATCGGTTGGGGAGCATCAGTTTTCTTAAGACTACAGGTATACATTGCTGACGAGTATCAAGTAGTACAAAACCTAGGTCCAGGGTTTCCTGTTGACGAGCTCCAATCATCATTTTATCTTAACATAGTGCACGCGATGCCAATTCCCTTAAACTGGTGGCCACGTTCCGACTTCGTCGATAGGATTCGATCCGCACTAAGAAGGACTTGACATACATGACATTGATCACCACCCAGTGATCAATCAATTGTAAATATCATTTGAGCTATAACTGCGAAAAGTCATTTAACAAAAAATAACAAGATTTTTAACCAGTCTAACAATGATTGAATGTCTCATGGTGATTGGTTTAACAGTGGAATGAATACCAGTGGAATTATTCAGACCATGAAAGTAGCATGAATCCAAATCTCAAGTAGAGAAACTTCTGTTCCACTAGTCAATGGACTAAAATGTTAAATAACCATTTTAGTTTTCGAAGTATTATGTATGTATTATATATGTATGTATTACATAATGATTAAAGGAGTTTTCTAAAGTAGTGGAGTAATTCTGATATTTCGTTTACACATATCATAATCAATTGTAGGTGTATGTTCTATTGTTATAGTTGAATGACAACTGTCATCAGTTGTAATTTAAAAACTAATTTTAGTTATATTATGTAATTTACATCATTACCTTAGCCTAATAAATTAGAGCTCTGATAATACAAATGTTATGATGGCTTAGTCGACTTGGTAAAACACTGATTAATAAAGGAGTAAAACCGATTTAGTTAAGTTTGAATTGTTTATCAGTTAACAAATGTATAGTCAAGGACGAAAATAGAAGTCACAAAACATCCAATGATCATTCACGTTTCTCCTGGTTGTAACAGTTTATTTGAAGTTATGAGATTGGAAGTGATATAACGAGGTAAACACTGAGAATAGTCAAACTTTCAGAACTGTTCTATCTTAAATCATTGTTTATATTTTCATTGTATTATTAGAAAATACTTCGATTATTGTATTGTTGTATTCCCTTAGCTGCAAGTTTTCGTTTGATGCATAAATTGTTGTTATGGATTGTACTTTTCTTAAGCTACTTTCAATTTGTTACGGACCTAATTTTCTACGGACACAATACTAAACTGTCGTAATTAGAGTCTTACTTTGGCCAAAATCAGAACAGGCAGGCTATTTGTCTCGATAAGGACTATCCTCTTCTAAAACGTAAGTTAATACCGTTAGTATACAAAAGAAAATTAATAAGGTTTAATAAACAGGGGAAATCACAGATTAGTTAAGCATCTTTTTCTTTGTTAAGTCAGTAAACAGTCTACAAAAATCTCATAGACTAGATTTCAAGTTTGTTACTCATTAGTGAAACGTAACCGAACTCCTTGACCAAATAAATGCCTACGTTACTACTTGTAACTAGATATTTTAAAATTACATAAAACAGTCAGTGTTTGTGTTAATGTCTAGATAAATGAATGTTAGTAGTGAGGGAATCAGTGAAAACGTAAAACCGTAAAAGTTATTCTCAAGGAGAATCAGGACACATATTTTTAACTACTTAGTCTATGGCTTTTTTCGAATTTTTATAAATATAGGCTTTTATTTGAATCATTAGTTGTTGTTATATTGTTGACAGCTTGTAAATAGCAGTGAATTAATCACTAAAATGTCACAAAGATATGTAACAATAATGTTATAGTTGTTAGACATATTAAGGTTTATTGTTTGTGATGCTTGCACTCTTATATTTTATTATCAGTCATGTGAGATTTTATGTTTGAATATAATATTGAAAAATAGGTAATATCTGGCTGTTCCTCCTAGTGTTCTGATTGGCGAACTCGAACAATTGTTTATTAACGGGTAAGTTTAGGGCTGGGGATAAACATCTCGTTTTCGAGTCATCAGAGTATAATCAGGAATTGCGGTCATGTTTTCGTTTATTTAGTGATGGTGGAGAAGATTTGTAGCTCAGGTGGATGATTTTGGCGGAGTTTTGTTCTCTGAGCTGGATGGTTTGGTCGTGGAGCTTTCATCGTTCTTCTGAACGACATCATCAGCACAAACTTCAAATAGACCAAATAGACCAAAACCATCCAGCTCAGAGAACAAAACTCCGCCAAAATCGTTTATTTAGTCACACACTTGTAGATATTTTGGGATAATTTCTATCATAGAATTTATAGGTGTGCCTTTTGTTATGTTGTGGTTTTTCTTCCATCATGACTGTCTGCCATACACTCGGCATATCCATAGAATGATGGAGTGGTATTTTCATCGTAGAAAACTCTACACCTTCCATGTAAGCCAGTGAAAACGATGGAGAACAAAACATGCCCTTCATCATAGGCTGTGATTATGTGAATAATAATTTCCGCTTCAGTTTGGTTGGCTACCACATGCAAGATTAAAATAGTGAACGAGAGTGGAGTGTATTCTCATCCGATTTTAATTTACTGATGAGGTTGAAAAAACGGTGATGAATTTTTCGACCAATCCTTAGCCAATCAGTAAGCATACTTTGTAAGTGGATGGTGCATGGACAAGGAAAATAGAATGTTACCAAATAATAACGGATTTTACGTGTTTAATGAATCTAGTATGGTCATTTACAGGTTACTGTGCCTGTTAATTGAAAAAAAAATGAAGTGGTGAGACCTTTGAGTGACGCTGAATTGACTTAGAGAATGTCCACCTACCAAACATAGCTCAATGAGGGTTAGAAACCAGTATGAGGGATTAGAATAATGGTTGAGTTGATGGTTAGGGTTAGGAATTAGATTTTCGGTTTTCATCACGAACTGACATCAACTTAAATGCCAAAATGCTATATAGCCAAATGGATGAATGGATTTCGCGCCAAAATCCCAGACCTGTTATATATCATTGGTTTGTTTATAAATTATAGTCTCGTTCATAAATTGTTTCACATAGTAGTGATTGTTTGTCTTTCGAAAGTAGCCAAATATATTTTTAGGCATCCTTACATTATTCTTATTTAAGCTTGTGCGTTTCGGGTTAGAGCTTTCATCCCGAACTGACATCAAACATAATGCATAATTTGGAGAGAAAATCCAAGAGGCTCTATACGATTAGTTCGGCCATAAAATGAAATGTATTCGAAAGCAGATCTACAGCCAGCTGAGAGATCTGACGATAAGGCACTTGAAATATAAAAAGTCTTTATTTGAAAAAAAAATTCCATTTTAAAAGTACAATCATATCTGTTGAATAAAAATTATTGATTTTCAGATGTGACCTTGAAACTATTGGACCAATCAAAATGACTGATTTATTGAGTGTAGGTGTTATCCAGAAATTATTTGAAATTTACTATTCTTAAAATATTCACATATTCACCAATGTAGTAACTGTCACATTTCATAATTGGGGATTAGTTTTTTCGTTGAACTAAAAGAAATTTATTTTATTCAGTTGATTATTGTGTAATAATGATATAAATAAATAAGGTTTATAAAAGAATGAAAAGAATCATACACTTTGTTAGATTCTCAATTGTTCTACAAGAAATCTATTCACAATAAAGAAAATAAATAAATAGACGAGTTTTTTTGTTGTTGTTGCTAACTACCACCTCAACAAAAAAGTAAGGAGAGTTAATTAATTTAGTCATGAAATTTAAATTTACTCTCCTTACATCATGGACACTATTACCAACGTCCATACCAAATACTGATTGTGAAGATAATGAAGCAATATTATTTGCACAATACTTAACTGAATATACAGAGAATAAATATGGTTTAAATGTATTTTGGCCAAGACAACGTGGTGAAGCATTTTTGCATAATTCATTCAATTCATTTGAAGAGAGATTTTTAACACATTCTGAATATGCATTACTCATTGTATCTGGTCAAAATGCATCATGTTTAAATTGTATTTATCCAAGATTTCTTGTATTTTTAACAGCTAAAAAATCATGGACTGAAAGAATTTTAATAATTTTTTTAAAACAACCAACATATTTATTAAATTTCGATTTAAGTTTATTAAAACATCCACCAATTTTATTCAATGATGATTCAACTAATCAGTGGATTCATGATCAAGAATCATGGATGAAAATAGCAGAACTAATAAAACGTAAGTAAATTTCAATGATTATGATAATCGTTTTAATTCAGCACTATATAGTTGATTGCATAGAGAGATTTTCAGTAAAATATGTACAATATTTAAATAAATTCATGTTAATATGTTCAATGAATGTAATGAAATATATATATGAAAATATTTTTTTTGCACAGATTCATCCCCTACTCAAATGTTTTCAAGTAGTTTTGATCTTATAAAATCTTTCTACATTAATTAATTTATTTTGATTCGAAAATTCTATTATAATCGATTGTCATTATTGCAAAGGATAACTAAATCATTGGGGGAGGGGTAGTATCATTTAATTTTTATATATTCAACTTTACTGTAGGTTATAAGGTTTTTATAGAAGTATGTGAGTATAGAAAGTTAACATAAATAATTAGTTAGTCTAAAAAGATTCAATTACAGTGTTTGCATAATTTGAAAGTAGGTGACCCATAAGTTCAAATAATTCTTCAATAATCATGTGTTTTTAATTAAACTTCTATTTATATACTCAGATAAATGAATATTACGTGAGAAATATAATTCATTTTAGTATCTAACAATTTAACTTTGTAGTTGATTTCTATTTACCATTAAGGTTTTAGTTAAGTTTATCAGCTAATTTACTTGACGTTCCTTTGTAGTTTCTGTTGAAATTGATGTTAAGCATGAAATCTGATGTTTTGGTGCCGACTGATCCGACTCCAATTTGCATGAACGTATGAATATACTATGAATATAAATCTTCCATTTAACTCCATATATTACATAGGCTACCCCGTTTGTATGAAGGCGGTAGTAAGAAGCCAAGTACTGGTGGCATTGGGGCAATTTATTTCAGGTATTCGTTTATCCAGACACAGAATCAGAATGAGACACGGTAAAGAGAAGAGGAGAGAGAGAGAGAGAAGCAAGATGAAATGACGCCCGGTGGAGAAGGCGAGTGAGGCAATTTGATTTAACCAAGAGTGACTCAATATTTATAGTCAGACCAAAACTACGTTAAAGACACATGATGAATGAGGTAAGTAATTAACACACATGTAATTATATAAAAACAGGTTAATAAGTAAATACGTGACAAGGTAGAAATGTGGATTGAGAAGAGTGAACAGATTGGTTTGTCCAGAGGCTAGAATAACCTATGAGGGCCTGACGTAGTACCGGTCTCTACAGTGTATGTCAATCAGCAAACACCACAATCAAAGATATTACCATTGATTTATTAAAACAGTAATTAAATTTCTATCGAAGTGCATTAACTAGAAAACGTCCCTCAGAAGTAATGAAAATCCTCTGTCAATTTAATTTCATATAAAGGAATCAAAGACAAAAGTAAATATAGTGTTCGGTACAAACTTGGAAGATATATTCTGTGAAATTTTCAAGAAAATCTTAGAAAAAGTGGTTTGTTGAATATCTTGCAGCTAATCGCCTAAGCTTAGGATTTTTACTAGTTGTCACTTGTCAACAAAGCGTACCTGCGATCTCGTGTCACTCAGCTTTACAACCTGAGACGCTATTCGAGCAGCAGCTGACTTTGCGTAGTATTGTGATATTTAGTTTTGATTACCACTGTCATGTTTATTTAGTTCTTTTTAGTGCTGACCGAATTCTACCGATTGCCAACGGATGTTAACTGATGAGAAATCTAGGCTTAGGGTTTCCTGCAGAGTATCTTTAACCACCTAACATTTCAACATAGTGCTCACGGTGTTGAGTCTTTTAGGTTTGTGACCATAATTCCATTTGATCGATAGAACTCGTAAAGTACAAAAAGACTAGACCAACTTGACAGTGGTCATTACTCAGTTAATAATTAGTTGTATTAATTAACTTTATTTATTATACTGCTATATTATGATTTACAAAACGGTTCACTACTTTAATATTATTTTTCCTCTCTACGTATCATACCGTCACTCATTTTTTATGACTAACTTACTTCAGACATAAGTTGTGTATTCCACATTGCATTGTGAATTAAACAGTAAAAACATTTCTAATCATTTGGTTCAATGATTTCTCACTGTAACTAAAACTGGTTGTTGTAATGTCTGTTTACTTCAATTAAACTATTTTGTCCCACTGTTAATCAGATCATGTCGGTTTTTATAGAGAATCTTTAAGTTTTATTGTCGAGTTAATGAAATTCAAAGAGGTAAAGTTATCAGTATATTCTACTTACTTGTAACATAAAGCATTATAATACGATAGGGAGACCAAAACAGCATATCATATACATGTTGGGGATGTTAGATCTCCAGAACTCACTTGGAAAAGAACATAATTTTGTAATTTTATTTAGAAAATTTGAATTTCTTTGTTTTCGCGCCAAAGGTGCTCTTGTCACCTTCATGTCGTGTTTCCTGCTCGGGCGAATCTTAAATGTTATTGGCCCGTTGAGTCTTTTAGTATGCTATTTGGTAACTCTCCCCAAGGACGGTTTTACACTGTATATATACGTTTCGAATTGTGTTGTTTTTGTTATCGCTCGTTTCTGGCTGTTTTGCAGAATATACTTCCATTCCAAGCTTGGACTTCTCCCTCTAGTTAGCGGGGCTGGGACGCATCAATAGCTAGCTTACTGGTCTTTGATCACCGAGCCTTGTTCTCGTTCGCCGATTAAGTGAACTCGTAATAGCTTTAAACCTAGCGAATTTCGCGACGGTGGTTTCGGAAATATGGATCCTTCTAAACTTGGATTATTACTCGAGCAGCAGATGAAACTTATTCAGATGTTAACACATACAAAGCTTACGTCTAATACTAAACCAAGCAGTTCTACTACTACTACTACTACTACTACTACTGCACCGTCAGTTGATGGTATCGCTAACAGTATCTCCGAGTTTCATTACGATCCGGAATCCAATGTCACGTTTGATATGTGGTTTCGACGTTACGAAGACTTATTCAAATTTGACTTTGCTAACCAGGATGATGCTTGAAAGGTCCGCTTGCTGATTCGAAAACTGGATCTTAGTGAACTAAACAGGTATTGCAACCTAATTCTGCCTCTAAACCCACGCGATCGCTCATTCTCGGACACTGTCCAGTCATTGAGCCAACAATTCGGAAACAACTCCTCACTATTCAATGCGCTTCATCGATGTTTGAAGCTCACTATGAACGAAGATGCTGATTTTCTCACACATATGGGTATCATCAACTGAGAATGGCAACGCTTCCGGTCGAAGTCGCTTACTGAAGACCAAATTAAAGCACTCATTCTCCTCTGAAGCCTTCAATCGCAGAAGTTCAGTAACATTAGGACACGCTTGCTAGGTCGATTGGACCAAGACCCAAAACTAACTCTTAATGATATTGCAAACGGATATCAACGTCTAATCAATCTGCAGCGTGACACTACGATGGTCCAGCGTGGTGGTTCAGATCGTACCGAAGTTCAGGTAGTCCAACAACCAACCAACGCGCATAAATCCGCCCCAGCAACATCTAGTGGGTCATAAAGATGGGATTGTCAAAAAAAGCCAAACAGCTCCAGAATTACCAGAAAGACTGTCCCTAAATTTTGCACAAATTCGTTGAATCTAGTATCAACCTGTCAGAACTCAGTCCCAGAGGAGAGGAAATTTATTACCCTTAATATTGATGGGCATCCGTTTAGATTGTAAATAGACACTGCATCTGACGTGACAAGTCTCTCACGAAAATCTTGGATCAGAATGGGCAAACCACTCACCGTGCCAACAACACAAAAACCTCTTACTGCATGTGGTTATCACCTACGTTTGTTTGGGACAACTAGATTTTAAAGTTTCTTTTCACAGCTGTACTACAACGCGTCAGCGATAACGGATTACGATTACGCCCAGAAAAATGCCAGCTTTTCTTGAAGTCAGTAAAATACCTGGGATTCATCTTTGATGCCGCAGGTAGCAGGCCAGATCCTGAAAACATCCGAGCTATAAAATTGATGCCAACTCCCATTAATATCTCTGAGCTACAATCATTCCTGGTTTGATTAGCTACTACTTAGCTTTTGTTCCGTCGGTGCATGACATACGTGCTCCACCAAATCATCTTCTAAATAAGAATACCAGCTGGAACTGGACAAAAGAGTATGAGACTGCATTTTGTAAGCTAAAAACCATAATTAGCTCTGAAATATTATTGACGCACTACGACCCATCCATGCTGATCATTGTAGCTGAAGATGCTTCAGCTTTTGGACTCGGTGCTGTCATCTCACACCAGTTTGCGGACGGGAAAGACAAAGCAATTATGCATGAATCTCGCACATTAACTCCAGCGGAAAGAAAGTACAGTCAAATAGAGTAAGAGGCTCTCGCCCTTTTGTTTACAGTACGCCGTTTCCACAAATTCCAGTACGGTCAAAGATTAACTCTTCACACTGATCATAAACCTCTTCTCACAATTTCGGTTCAAAACCTGGTGTTCCAGCCCACTCTGCGAACTGTCTTCAGCGATGGGCTTTGATACTTTTGGGTTATGATTTTGACATTCATTACCCGCGCACCCAACAGTTTGGTCTGGCTGACGCCTTGTCACGACTTATCAGCGAACACCATACGGCCGACGAAGATGCAGTTATTGCCTCCCTAATGACAGAGGACCACGCGCAATGTTACCTGGCAACTGCTGTTCGTGCTTTGTCAGTCTCAACAGCTGAAATACAACCTGCCTCTAGGAACGACTCCATCATTAAGAGAGCGATGAAATACGTCACCAATGGCTGGCCGTCAACTGGACTCGATGGTGACTTGAAGCAGCTTTACCACCATCGGGACTCAATATGTGTCGTAAATGAATGCTTGATATTTGGAGATGGAGTAGTGGTACCAGATTCCTTACGATCAAGAGTGCTCAAGCAATTCTACACTGGTCATCCTGGTATAAAACGAATGAAATCCATTACCAGAAACTATGTTTATTGGCCCCTCATGGACCAAGACATCGTGGATTCAGTAGGCAAGTGCACAGAGTGTCAGCAAGCGGCTAAGTGTAACGCGAAA